TTGCACACCAGGGACATGGACGCGTGTAGACACACATCTCACACTGGGCCGCCTCCTCCCGTGCACTCCCCCTGCGTGGTCTGCAGGCTTTGCACACCAGGGACACGGACACGTGTAGACACACATCTCACACTGGGCTGCCTCCTCCCGTGCACTCCCCCTGCGTGGTCTGCAGGCTTTGCACACCAGGGACATGGACGCATGTAGACACACATCTCACACTGGGCCGCCTCCTCCCGTGCACTCCCCCTGCGTGGTCTGCAGGCTTTGCACACCAGGGACACGGACGCGTGTAGACACACATCTCACGCTGCACTTCTCTCACAACTCAGACTGCGCTCAGTGCCCGCCCGGCTTCATCGGCAGATCCGCTCAGCTCTGCTTTGCAGATACGCCCCCAGTCCAGCCAGCTGTCCCCTGTGCACCACGCTGGGTTCCCCCCGGGCTACGCCGTGGACTCCTGACTGCTGCTGCGCTCTCTCTCCCCTGCACAACAGCAGACCGGTCCTGTGCAGACCAGTCAGGTCCTGTCACCCTCGGCTCAGACCTAGGAAAGATCGGAGTCTAGATGCGTTCTTTTATAATAATAATAAAAAACATAAATTCAGAGTGGAACGATTAGATCAGCTGAGAAAGGAAAGTACTCCTTGTGAATCTAATCCCAGTAACTTCAGCAGATGTTGGCTCTCTGTGACATTACTAATACACACTTCCAGGCAGTTCCAAGGAGAATTCTCTCACCAAACACAGCAAGTTTGGAAGAGAGAAACACAGGCTCCGTGTTGTCAGGAATATCCCAGAACATTTTAATTTGTTTAGTAATGGCAAAGACCAGAGTTCAAGAAGAAATTATAATTATATTCATAATCATATAAATAACCCAGGTACATAAGCTGAAGTCATTCAGACATAGCAGCTGTTTAAGAAAAATGCTGAAAACTGCTACGATAAGGAAAAACATAGAGAATTTCATCAAGATTCGTATAAGGAGTGCTTGTGATGACTGAGGGACTCGGGCACTATTATTCTTCCCTGTGTCTAGGTGAGGTCTGTGCCTGGTGCTCACCGTGTCTAGGTGAGGTCTGTGCCTGGTGCTCACCGTGTCTAGGTGAGGTCTGTGCCTGGTGCTCACCGTGTCTAGGTGAGGTCTGTGCCTGGTGCTCACCGTGTCTAGGTGAGGTCTGTGCCTGGTGCTCACCGTGTCTAGGTGAGGTCTGTGCCTGGTGCTCAGCGTGTCTGTAGGTGAGGATCCCACCCCCTGGTGCTGGCTGCTTACCCAGAGATTTTTCCTGAGTCCTGGTGTCACTGAGCTGTGACAGATGTGTGTCCCACTTGATGGACTCCCCTCATTCTTTGTTGTGTTCACCGGAGAAGATTGTTACTTCTGTTTCTGGGTTTCACTTCCAAGCTGAGCGGAGATTTTTCTCTGTGAATGAGCATGTGTCGTTAGCGTTTTTGGCATGGGCTGGGGAGAGGTCTCCTTAGTGATCTCCCTGTGCTGGTTTCCTCCCCGGCAGCCCCTCCCTGCAGCGTTGGCTGACCCATGCGGGCAGAACGGCTGGGAACCAGTCCTGACCCCCCTTCCCCTCAGGAGTCACAGGTTCACGTCTTCCCTTTGTGCTGAGGCAGTGGCGTGCCGCCAGCCGTCCTTGGAAGACTTGCACTCTGTTTTGTGCTTACGTTGAGTACAAAAATCAGTCTGCATTTGATGTTTGAATACCCTGTTTCTTTGGGTTTTCCTGTGTTAGGGTCTGAAAACGCCCACCGCCTGAGGAACGTCTCCAAGAGACTCTCTCATGCAACCAGCAAAGGGTTAAAGATTTATTGATCCAAATTGTTGGGGCTCTCTGAACATACAAGAACAGAGGAGCCTCGAGGAACTAAAGTATAGGGTTTATAAAGGCAAAAACCGCAAAATGGGGAGGGGGGAGAGAATACACGGTTGCTAAGCGGTTGCTAAAATCTTACAATCAGCAATTATGATCTTAAGACATAGACAAATCACATCTTCATTATTAGCCCAGGTAACCCAGGTGCAACCTTTCTACTTTTAAGCTTGAGCAATCATGCTGGGGGGGGTTTTGTGTGTTGCCAAGGGTGATATAGTGCACTGCTGTTGTCTGACTATTTGAGATCATAGTTTCAGACCAGAGTCTCACGGTGGGGGGGTGCTTTCCCAGAATGGAGTCTCAAGTGCTCCAAAATGGAGTCCTGTCGCTCCCCCTCTTCATGGAGGAACGACACTGGACCCTGCGCTGTTCTTTTGTCTGCTCGGCCCTTCCCGGGTTTGCTGCTGGTTCTTCCCGGGTTGGCTGCCGACCCTCCCACCTCTGTGGAAGGGCGGTACCCCCTGCCACTTTCCCCACTTCCGCGGGGGAGCGGCACACCGCTGGCCAGCTCTCTCAGGGGCTGCTCAGATGTTCCTCAGGTGTTCCTGGTGCATGTTGTCTCTCTCCTCCTTTATAATCCTCTTCCACCAATCCCAACTCTGCTACCCACACGCCGAGTACGCTGCTCTCCTCCAATCAGGAGCAGGATCAGCTCCTGCAGCTTATCAGTCAAGTTGGCGAGAGGCAGCTGTGTAAAGTTGTTTACTCCTCTCCCAGCGCCATATTGTGGGAGAGCAGATGCATAGAATAAGTCTTAATTCCAGTAACTTAGTCTAGTCCGAGTTGCTCCCCACAGTTCCCCCTTTCTTTTTATTTTTGGCGTTGATACGCGCCTGTCTTCGGTGCCCCGCGGCACACACTCTGCTCTGCTTGCTAGAGTTGCCCACAGGTGCTTACAAGCGCTACCAATCAGGCAAACCGAATCCGGGTCCTCTCTTCGCCATGTTGTGAGGAGGTTTTTAGGCGCTGATGCGTGCCTGTGTTCGGTGCCCTGCAGCGCATGCTCTGCTCTGCTAGAACTGCCTGCAGGTGCTTACAAGCCCTACCAATCAGGCAAACCGAATCCAAGCCCTCTCATTGCCGTCTTGTGGGGAGAGTTATTGGTGTTGATAACGTGCCTGTCTTCGGTGACCTGCAGCGGATAAGCTGCTAGCCGCCTGCAGGTGCTCATCACCTTACTAATCAGGCAGACCGAATCCAAGCTCTCTCATTGCCATGTTGTGGGGAGGCCTTATTTTTCTCTATTTCTCTATCTCCAGGCATTCCTATCTCTCCTATTTTACTTCTATCTGCCAGCATTCCTATTTCTCTCATTTTACTTCTAAACTTCTGTTTCTCTTATCCCTGCGGCTTCCCAGCGCCCGCCCCGAGGCGGCTTCTTGGCGCCTCGCCCTGTGGCGGCTTCCCGGCTCTGCGCCGCTTCAGCCCGCACTTCTCTCATCTGTGTGGCTTCCTGGCTTCACGCACACTCTGCTGTCTCCGCGCCCCTTCGCGCCCACACCACAGCCTCCGTGCCAGCCCCGCACTTCCTATCTACTCGTGCCCCGTGCACTCTTTCCACTTGTGCCCCGTGTGCTTTCTCTGCGTGCGGCGGCTTCTGCGAATCAGGGCCTAGCTCACGTTTCCGCTTCTCGGTTTTCAGTCTAAGTTCCCCGGGCTAACCTGACGAAATCCAACCTAGCTTACCTCTCCGCCTTTCGGTTTGGCTTCCCGTCTTTTGCTCCCCGGGCTAATCTGACGGATTCCAACCTAGCTTACGTCTCCGCGTCTGGTTTTAGTTTTTCGCCTTTTGCTCCTCGGGCTGACTTGACGAATCTCAACCTAGCTTACGTCTCTGCTTCGGCCTGCCGCTGCGACTTCATTTTCCCTAACATATTTTTCTCTACCCGGTATGTTTCCTAACTTTTCTTCCAACAATATTCCCCTCTCATTTCTCCTGGCTTCTCCCCACAGTCCGTATCCGAGTCTAAGTTTCTTCTAGCTTTCACTTTCGCTTTCAACCATAGATTTCTCCTAACTTCCCGGCCATAGACCGTATCTGAGTCTATGTTTCTTCCAGCTTTCACTTTCGCTTTCAATCCTAACTTCTTCCGGCACTTTTTCCGTCCGGCTTTTCCCTAGGCTCTTCCCTAGTCTCTCTCTCCGGTATTTTCCCACTTCTTCCTGTTTCTTCCCTCCTAGGTTTCCTATCTGAGTCACGGCACCATTATGTCGCTCCCCCTCTTTGCGGAGGAACGACACTGGACCCTGCGCTGTTCTTTTGTCTGCTCGGCCCTTCCCGGGTTTGCTGCTGGTTCTTCCCGGGTTGGCTGCCGACCCTCCCACCTCCGTGGAAGGGCGGTACCCCCTGCCACTTTCCCCACTTCCGCGGGGGAGCGGCACACCGCCGGCCGGCTCTCTCGGGGGCTGCTCAGATGTTCCTCAGATGTTCCTGGTGCATGTTGTCTCTCTCCTCCTTTATAGTCCTCTTCCACCAATCCCAACTCGGCTGCCCACACGCCGAGTACGCTGCTCTCCTCCAATCAGGAGCAGGATCAGCTCCTGCAGGTCATCACTCAAGTTGGCAAGAGGCAGCTGCGTAGAAGTTGTTTACTCCTCTCCCAGCGCCATATTGTGGGAGAGCAGATGCATAGAATAAGTCTTAATTCCAGTAACTTAGTCTAGTCCAAGTTGCTCCCCACAGAGTCCCTACTGTCAAGGTGCTACTTCACTCTGTCTTATTTTCACAGCTGCACCAGGAAGGTTTAAACCTGTAAGCTTAAGCTTAACTTTTTACACCCGCACATATACAATTTTAACTCTTCACCTGTTCCTAGTCGGCACAGTAATTTGATCATGGAGCGACCGGATTACCACTCCATATGGCAAGAATGGTGTTGCCTTTGCCCTAAAATACAGAAGTAATTTATATTAACCTGAAGGCGTACGGCGCCAGCACCACTTACATGTCCCAGTGTCTCCTGTCAGCCTGCCCGTAGCTACGTGAGGCTCGCGGAAGTCTGGACTTCCCGAGGGCCTCTGTCGTTTCCGTCTTAGGTGGAATGAAAACCTCGTCTCCCTCATGTTAGTAAAATTTACGATATTCCTCTGTTTTGTGATTTCTCCTTTTAGATTGAGAAGAAATGCTGGGCAGTAAGTAAAGCTTTCTCCTCCCGGCCTGGAGAGTGACATGGGTGTCGGCAAGTCCAAAGCAGGTTCCTGCCCCCTGTCCTTCTCCCGGGGTGAGAGCCACGGCGTGGACACACGTCCGGGACCTCCCGGGTCAAGTTCCAGGAGATGTGCAGAGGCCGCCCTGGGTGAGGGTGCTGAGCGTGGCGGTGCTACCAGGGAGCCAGTGCAAGAGCGGGAGGTGCCTGTGGGCCTGGCGGAGGCTCCCGCGGCAGGCGAGGAGGAGGAGGAGGAGGAGGAGGAGGAGGAGTTCCTCAAGTTTGTGATCCTACACGCGGAAGAGGACACGGACGAAGCGCTGCGGGTGCAGAGCCTGCTGCAGGACGAGTTCGGCATCAGCCCCGGGATGGTCTTCGCGGAGATGCCGTGCGGCAGACAGCACCTGCAGAACCTCGACGCCGCGGTCAACGGCTCGGCCTGGACCATCTTGCTGCTGACCGAGAACTTCCTGCGCGACACCTGGTGCAGATTCCAGTTCTACACGTCCCTGATGAACTCGGTGAACAGGCTGCACAAATACAACTCCGTCATCCCCATGCGGCCCCTGAACAACCCCCTGCCCCGGGAAAGGACGCCCCTGGCCCTGCAGACCATCAACGCCCTGGAGGAGGAAGGCCGCGGCTTTGCTACCCAGGTGGAGAGGATCTTCCAGGAGTCCGTGTTCAGGACCCAGCAAGCCATCTGGAGAGAGACGAGAAGCGCAGCGCAGAGACAGCTTGTCGCCTGAGGTGGAACACGCAGCCCTCGGCCGGCTCCTGGGGCAGCAGCGCTGGGACGCCTTGACGTAGAGGACAGCCCTTTTCTTACGGGAGCCTGGGGGGCGGGGGCACAGGAGAGCGGCCTGCAGCAGGGCTGGAGCGTTCCTCTCCTGCTTCTTCTCAGGCACGGACGTTCGTGTCCCAGGTACTGAGCCTCGGACAGAAACTTGTAGTCAGGTGTTCCGGAAACAGGATGCTTATACTGTGAAGCCGGCTCCCCACGGGCATGTGGGAAAAATGGCCCCAGGGACCTGAGCACGCTCCCTCCTGGGGCCCCTCCCATGGGTCACACCCTCTGGGTGCTGTCCCCTGGGGCGTGTCAGGTGTTGAGAGTTGTGACACGAGCCCAAACCCGTGCTTCTCTGCTGGCATCTGCGTCCATGGGGGCGATGGCCGCCTGGCTTAGCAGCCCTTCCCGCGGTGTGGCGGTGAATCGGGCCCCCCGCAGTGCCGCTGGGGTGTCCTCTGGGGCCCGCAGCTGTCGCGTGAGTCACTGTCGGGTGCCAGGGCTTCGTTCTCAGAGCTTCCGAAAGGCGTCTGCCCAGGACATGTTGCCCATGCAGGCGTCTGCAGTAACTTGGCCCTTAGGAGTGCGTGCACACGTGTGTGGGGGGATTATCTTGAAAGCCTTGGACCTGAAGCGGGAGATGTATTTTATCACATCCTCTTCTGGTGCCCCAGCCTCCTAGCTGGCCAGGGAGGCCCCTGGGAGACCTGTGCCGTCCCCTCATAGCCCTTCTGCCCGTCAGATGGAGAGAGGATACGGGGTGACTGGGTTGTGTCCTGCTGTGACGAGCAGAGCATCTGTGGTGGGTGAGGCGGGGGAGGGGAGTTCCAGGACCTGCTCCGGTCCAGTCTCTGGCACCCCAGGGTGACTGACAGTGAATGCACCCTTTAGCTGTGATGGGAAAGCGTTGGTTGATGGGTCTCTAAAGGCCTTGGCCCTCTCCCAGGCCATGAGAGACTTGGAACCAGAGAAGGAAACCAGAAAAATGGTAGAATTCTGTAAGGTGGGGTGGATGGTGTGGCCCAGCTGGTTACTACCGCCTGGGACAGCTGCATCCCGTATCAGAATGCTGGTTAGAGTCCCGACTGCTCAGCTTCTAATCCAGCTTCCTGCTTGTGCACCTTGGGAGGCAGTACGTGCATTTCTGGCCCCCACATGGGAGGTCTGGATGTAGTTCTGGGCTTCTGGTTTCAGCCTGGCCCAACCTGGGCTGTTTGGGCTTTTGGAGAGTGCATCAGTGGATGGAAGACTCCCTAATTCCCTCCCCCTCCCCCTCCCCCTCCCTCTCCCTCCGAATAGAGGAAAATAAATGAAGTGTTTTAGAAGAATTATTTGAGGGGATATGTGATATAATAGTTGCAAAATGGTTTATGCACACAATGAAAGTGTATTTTTGCATCTTTGCAGCACAGGTGATTTTTTTTTTTTTTTTGACAGGCAGAGTGGACAGTGAGAGAGAGAGACAGAAAGGTCTTCCTTTGCCATTGGTTCACCCTCCAATGGCCGCCACGGCCGGCGCACTGCGGCCAGCGCACCACGCTGATCCGATGGCAGGAGCCAGGTGCTTCTCCTGGTCTCCCATGGGGTGCAGGGCCCAAGTACCTGGGCCATCCTCCACTGCACTCCCTGGCCACAGCAGAGGGCTGGCCTGGAAGAGGGGCAACCGGGACAGAATGCGGCGCCCCGACTGGGACTAGAACCTGGTGTGCCGACGCCGCAAGGCGGAGGATTAGCCTAGTGAGCCGCGGCGCCGGCCTGCATAGTTGATTTTTAATGCTGCCCATTATACTTTTATAGTCTCAGAAAGGAATTATTATACCTGTTCACTCAGGTTTCTAAAGAATACTTTTTTAAAAAAAAAAGATGAGACCTTGCGCATAGGCATTCTGCCTCATTTTTCTTTCTTCATCCCTTAGCAGCCGCTGAGCTCTGCTCGGGCGTGCAGTTCCCTGGGCGTGGCCTTGAACCTGGCGCTCCCGGTGCTCGTGTCCTCATGCAGGTATGGACAGGCACGTCCGGCGGACTCTGAGAACTTTTGCCGCCTGCCGGGAGCTTCCTCCTGGGTGCTCTGTGGGCTACACTGCTTGTAGAAATCTCAGCTGTGCTTAAGGACAGGATTCTTTTAGCTGTGAGAGGCAGAAAGCCCGTTGTGCCATGGCCTGAATCACAGGGTAGTTATTTTTTTAAGATTTATTTATTTATTTACTTGAAAGGCAGAGTTACAGAGAGGCAGAAGCAAAGCGGGGGACCTCTTCCATCTGCTGGTTCACTCACCAGATGGCCACAACGGCTGGAACTGTGCCGATCCAAAGCCAGGAGCCAGGAGCCTCCTCTGAATCTCCCATGTGGGTACAGGGGCCCAAGGACTTGGGTCATCTTCCACTGCTTTCCCAGGCCACAGCAGAGCGCTGGATTGGGAGTGGAGCACCCGGGACTAGAACTGGCGTCCATACGGGATGCCGGCACTGCAGGTGGTGGCTCCGCCCACTACGCCGCAGCACTGGCCATGTAACTTAATAGTTCCGCCAAGGTACTCAGAAATGCTGTTAAAAGCTCACGTTCTTATACGCAGTTGAATATTATGCAGCCTTAGAAAGGACTAGAATTCCAGCGCTGCCCCAGCAGGCCGCTGTTGAAAACGTTAGGCTGAGTAGAAGAAGCCAGATGCGGGGGGCAGCACTGCGTGGTTCCGTCGCCAGGCCGCCGGGTCTCAGAGACCGCCAGGACAGCGGTCGTGGGCCGGGGCCGGGTCTAGGACGGGAAGGTGCTGGCTAGTGGGTGCGGAGCTTCTGTGGGGGCTGAAGCGGCTCTGGGGACAGGGGGTGTGCATGCTTATGCCTCTGCATCCGATGTTGAAAATGCTTCAGTCAATGATGTTCCAGACGTTTTGTCACACGATAATAAAAGTAAAGGTAAAAAGACAGCCCAGGCCCTTCCTGGTGTTCCCTCCTGCGTCCTCAGTGTGCTGTGGGGCCCGCTCCAGTCCGCGTGGTGGCTGCACCGGCCCTGGATGCCACTGCGCATGCGCGCGCGGAGCTGGGCCAAGTGTCTCTCCTGGCGGCGGTGATGGCGAGGGGCCGTCTGTGCGTTCTCTTCATGGCTGCGCTTGCACTCCTCCGTCTCCCACCCGCCCATGCCGGCCCCACTGCTGTGGAGCAGACCCGCGGCCCAAGCCCCGCCCTGTCCTCCACCAAGCGGGTCCTACCTGCTGGGACTGTTGCCCACACACCCTTGCATTGCAGCGAGGGGTGGGGGAGAGGGCGCAAGAGGTCACGCCTGCCCCAACCCTGCGTGCACAGACAAGGGAGCTGCTGGCGCCGGGGCCGTGTGCCAGACAGTGTCATCTGGCCATGGAAGTGCGGCAGGCCCCGAGCAGCGAGCGGCGTGTGAGCCGTTAGCGGGTGTGGAGGTGGGAGCCGCGGGCAGGGCGTGCAGGAGCGTGACCCTGTGGCTCCGACAGGTCAGGGAGGCAGGGCCATGCGCTACGAAAGCAGAAAGTGGTGACCGGGCGTGCCGGTTCCGACACGGCTGCCTTGGGCTGCGTTTTGTGCGTTGACTCGTACACCTTTGTGTTTGGGGGCCTGGGGTGTGATCTCTCTGATGTTTAGCCCTCTGGGGGTTAAGTGCCCCCTCCCCCACCCCGTGGTCTGCCTCCTTTGGGACTGGGCTGAGTGAATTCAGCGACACTGGTCCACTTTGCTCCTTCCCTTTGTCCACCCTGCACTGGGCAGGTTGCCTGCTGGCTGAGCCTCCCTGGGCACATGGAGCTCTTTCCTACCTCGGTCCCCTGTCCTTCATCTGTGCAGATCCTAAGGGGGCAGCTGGACCACAGGGTGGACGCCAGCCTCCTGGCCGCGTGAGGAGTTACTCCACTGGTTGTGGAAACAACTTCCCGGGACCCTGTCGGGTCAGGAGTTTGGATGCTCAGTGTCCCCCACGGCCCGTGTGTCAAAGCCTCAGTCTGCAGAGGGCGCTGATGGGGTCTGTGGGACGTCCCTGGGTCACGGGGGGCAGGCCGTTCTCGGGGACCTCTTAGGCTCCATGCAAAGGTGATGAAGCCCTGACTGTGGGTGGACCACCTGGCCTACCTCTGCCTCCAGCCTCACGAGTAGCCCTCTGCAGTGTGCTCCACCCTCCACCTCGGGCCCCTCATGGAGCCACAGCCCGTGCCTTGAAAACTGAGTGCTGTTTGCTTCTTTATCGTCATAAAAACCTGATGAATGCAGGCGCTTCCACACACTGCAGCTCAGTCCTAAACCCCCAGGCCAGTTGCTGGTGGTTCCAAAGCCCTAGAAAAAGCCAGGCGCTTCCTCTCCAGGAAGCAAGCACCAGATTCACAGAGGTGCACCTTGGCCGAGCCATCACTCTGTCCAGCAGAAGGCCCTGCAAGAAGGGATGGCAGTGAGAGCCACCAGTGCTTGAGTGGGGCCCAGGAGCCTGAGGAGGTAGGGGTCTCAAGGGCACCGTCTCCGTGCAGTGAAGAATCTCAAGTGTGCAGATGAAACCGAGTGCTGGTAACTGAGCCGCATGTCACCCCTGAGAGTCAGGGCCATCTCCAGCTGTGCCCAGCGGCTGGGCTGGGGCCGGCCCCAGGGCTGTGAGAAGCCTGGCCATGACTGTGCAGCTGTGCCATGGTGTTCAGGGTCTGCCCCTTGGGAGGCCACAGGTTCTTGTGACACTGTCTAAGAGGCCGGTGTCCCCTGCTGGGCTGTCCCAGAGTGTGACTGTGCCCTGCAGGCCTGAGGAAGGTGTGCGGGGCCGAGGAGGGCTGGAGAGCCCGAGCACCTGGTGAGGGACGGCCACCGCGGCCTCTGCAGTCGGCACCTGCAAGCCAGCGACCAGGGGGTGAACAAGGCAACTCTGCGTCCAGGAACCTGGTGTTTCTCGTGAGAATCCAAGTAGGAACGCTGATTGGATTTTGAACATTGTAGTGACTGCATAAGAACAGCAGTCATGCTGTCTATAAACACGTTCAGCCCATGTGTTTGTGACTCTGGGCGGAGTCCTCGTATTCGGTTACCATTAAGTTGGAGTTGGAGTAAGTAGCGCTTGTGCTGTTGATCAGATCATGAGAATTATTCCATTGAAAGCTCAGTGAGTTAATTGGGGGGAAAAGGAACGAGCCCATCGCTCTGTCCGTCTGTGCACGGAGGCTCACGACTGCTCACCCTGCTCGCCTCCCCTCCTTCCGAGGGAGCGAGGATTGTTCTGGGGAGGTCGTTCCTTCGTCTGGTGCAGCACTCCTCCTGGCGTCTTCCGGCTCCCAGGGCTCGGAGTCACTGCACTCGGGTGATTGATCGGAGAGTTTCATTGGCAAACAGCACGAACCCGCCCTGCAGCAGTTTTCCGATCCGCTGATGGGGGTTCCTCCTGCCGCCTACTGAAACTGTAGATCTGAACAAGGCTACCTCTGCAACCTGTAGCTGCTGCCAGAGATTTTCCACGGGCGTATCGTAAGGACAGATTACCAACTTGGCAGATTTCTGTGCATTTCATTTATAAGTAACGCTAGCTCATGAAAATGCCCTAAAATTAGATGGTGGTGACAGATGCGCAGCCCTGCAAATGTACTGCAAACCATGGAGCTGGACACATGGGAAGTTTGAGGTTATGTAAAATAATGAAGAACCTGAAACAAAACAAAAACCCACAAGCAGAAGCACAGCCCAAGCTCCCGCCGCAGTTCATGTCGGTTTCTGTCGAAGTGGGCATCTGCCGCGAGCCCCGAGACTCTGCCCCGGGCTTAGTGCCCTCCAGAAATTCCCCAGCAGGTTCCCGCAGGAGCCCCTGGGAGGAAGAGGCCTATTGCCATAGCTTTATCATAGCGAAAAACTGGAAGCAAGCGGCCATCATTAGAAGAGTGTAGAAATATATTCCAGGTTCACAGATCAAATTCTTAGCACGTTTAAACTCCTGAGCAAAGCTCAGGGATGTACACAGCAGATCTCAGAACCGTAGTGCTGGGCGGCGGAGTGGAAGTTACAGAATAAGATGGACAACCTGTGCCACTTGTGTTCAGTTCTAAACATGCAAGAGGGGCCGGCGCGGTGGCACAGCGGGTTAATGCCCTGGCCTGAAGTGCCAGCATCCCATGTGGGTGCCGGTTCAAGACCTGGCTGCTCCACTTCCATTCCAGCTCTCTGCTGTGGCCTGGGGAAGCAGTAGAAGATGGACCAAGTCCTTGGGCCCCTGCACCCATGTGAGAGACCCAGAAGAAGCTCCTGGTTCCTGGTTTCGGATCGGTGCAGCTCCGGCCATTGTGGCCAATTGGGGAGTGAACCATCGGATGGAAGACCTCTCTCTCTCTCTCTCTTTCTCTCTCTCTGCCTCTCCTCTCTCTGTGTAACTCTGATTTGCAAATAAATATTTAAAAAAATCATGCAAGGCAGCTCAGAGCCTGTATTGGTGCTGGCATCTTACTCTTCCATGCTCTTCTGTATCTTTGAAATAATTCACTTTGTGATCATTTTTAAAGGAGCGCATCCATGTGAGTCGTGTTGAGTGCAGTGACTTGAGGAGCAAGTAGAAGAAGACTGACAATAGATAAATGAATCAGAGGACTAAGTGCTGGTAATAAAATCACCCACTGTGTCCGGCAGTTAACCTGCATGATCTCTAGTATTCCCCAAATTCCAACAGGGCCCGTCTCTTCACATCCAGTATTAGTCCCCTCGGTGAAGCTGGATGTGGCAGTGACGTGCCCAGGAGCCAAGGCTGGAGGGTGAGTCATGGGTTCAGGGAAACTTGCAGGGGACCGGGCCCAAGGCCTGTGAGTCGTGAGGTCTGTGCCGAGTGCTTCCCCGTGGTGGAGGGTCTCGGGGGAGCTCGGTGGCGTGAAGAAAGCCACAGCAGTTTGTAAGCGACAGCAAGGAGCTGCAGGGGCCTCGGCCCAGGGTTTGGTCTGTTTGCCTGCCGCAGGAACTATGCGTCCTGCACCCCAGCTGATGTGTTGCCGGGGCTGGTCCTGGCACTTCCTAGCTCTGGTTGGTTCTGAGCTTTAAGAACCAAAGTCTCTGCCGATTCTAAAACGCCCCCTCTCTCCTGCGCTTTCCGTAGCTCAGTTTGAACACGCATCCTTCGGCCCTTCTCTTTCCCAAACTCCGTGTGGGAGCAGCCATGTTAGAACCGTGATGCTGTCCCTAGGCTGACAGGAGGCCGGCGGTGTCACTTCGCTCAGAGCGAGAGGTCCGCCCTGTACGGCATGGCCATTGGAGGGTGGCTGAAGATGCCTGTCTGGTTCCGGTTTGTGTGATTTGCTGCCTTTGCTCGCGTGAGATGTTGCATAGGTTAAATGAAGCATGGCTTTGATTTACAGGGAGGAAGGGGAGGGGAGGGGGCAGGAGAAGCGGGGCGAGGGTTTCTTTCAGGAACTCTGAATTTGGCTCCCGGGTGCCTACGACGAACGGTAGGACAGCTCTGTAGGGACACTGACCGGAGGACACAGACCTAGGCATCCGTGAGCGTGTGACGTGTGGGTGCAGGATGGGTAGATGGAGTGGGAATTATTTTTCACGCTGAGATGATCCTAGATGTGAAGTCCCAGCCTCAGCTGGGATTCTGTGAGCCCAACTGCAGTTCTTTTTTTTTTTTTCGACAGGCAGAGCGGACAGTGAGAGAGAGACAGAGAGAAAGGTCTTCCTTTGCTATTGGTTCACCCTCCAATGGCTGCTGCGGCCGGCGCACCGCGCTGATCTGATCGCAGGAGCCAGGAGCCAGGTGCTTCTCCTGGTCTCCCATGGGGTGCAGGGCCCAAGCACCTGGGCCATCCTCCACTGCACTCCCTGGCCACAGCAGAGAGCTGGCCTGGAAGAGGGGCAACCGGGACAGAATCTGGCGCCCCGACCGGGACTAGAACCTGGTGTGCCGGCGCCGCTAGGCGGAGGATTAGCCTAGTGAGCCGCGGCGCCGGCCCCAACTGCAG